AGGATCCTAGCTGATAGCTGGTATGAGTGCATCAGAAATGATCAGCACAGGAGAAGTGACAGTGATTGCTGTCCATACGCCGAGGGAACGGTAGATCGGGGAAGCGGAGAGCTGTCCAGCATGAGAGGCTCCCTAAGCACTTGGAAGATTCCCTGCCGCTTTGGGAAAGGAGAGAGATTGTCAGTTCAGCAAGGCTTCATGCCACAGGCTATTCCACTAAAGCTTCTGCATTACTTTACAGTATAAAATGTAAGTTGGAAAGTACTAAACTAGAGGAAGAGGGAACAGGCTTATAGGAGAGTGCAGCGGGGCATGAGATGGGGAGTAATGAGCAGAGCTTGAGAGCTCAAGCCAACCCTGAGTGGATTAGAGGGTGGCTGGGCCCTACTCCAAGGATGTACTAAAGACTGAGGCTGTCAACAGTCAGAAGCAGTGGCAATGAAGCTGCAGCTTAATTTTTAGCTTAATTTTCTTCATGTTGAGCTGCATCTCATTAATTTGAAGAGAAAAATGCACATAAACTTGAGGAAATTTCAAGGTACAAGCCAAAGTGGTGGTGGTGGTGATGGCAAGTGGTGGAAACAGTGATTTCCTTTGGCTCTTGCTTCTCCATCCCTTTTCATTATCATGTAATCAAATACAAGTTCCTTGTTTACATATTCAAGTTCTCATTTTTTAGAAAGTACGAATCAGAACAGAATTGGCTTTTAGTTTTATAGCAGCTTCTCTGGTTAGCCCTGGGAGCTCAAGTAAGCAGGTGTGGGGGAAGAACTTTCCTTGAGATCCGTGGCCCTTTGTAACTTTGTAATTTGAAAAATGCTACCTGGGCTTGAGACTCAGTCCTGCCGGTCTAAGTCTCTGTACCTTATCTGTTTCAAATTAATGTTGCTAACTTGGCCATTGGAGAAATTGTGGGGTGCTTGAACTACAATCTTGGATGGTATAATCTGTTGGCTGTACACCTTGAGCTGTGTTTGCTTACAATCTGTTCACATTAATGGGGGAGGAAGAAAAGATTGGTGTATTCCTGAAATCCCAATTCCTCTACAATGGGCAGGGTATAGATGTGGAGTATCAAATAATGTATTTCACCATTTTGCACCTAATTTTTTTTTAAACATTGAGATACTTGTGGTAGTTTTTGTTGCATTTTGAGTTTATTTAAGTAATTTTGGTTTTGTTAATAAATGGATTTGGTTGCACAGCGTACTACTGGTTGATAGGAGTTTGGAAGGAATTAAAAACCCCTGTATCTCAAGCTTTTAATAACCAAATTCTCTTTTAATCTTATGAAGCCAGTAGCAAATTAGCATGGAGCTCAGTACATACAGTGTCCATGGCCTCTCCTTGTTGTAAGGTTGTGTTTAGATATCCGTGTGGCTGTGGCTTGCCTGAAGCTGGGCTTTGCTGCGAGGCTTCACCTTTTGCTTGCCAGGACGAGGCCCAAAAGGAGTAATTTTTTTGCGGAAACGTTGGAATCGGATTCTAGATCTTCACCCAGCCTGGGCTGGACGCAGCCCGATGTGGAGAGCTGTGTCCGTCCTTACCGTCTTGCCTTCAGCCGGCCGTCTGCCCCTCACGGTCCCGTCTAACAAC